GGTTCTGCGTCTAGGTAGGCAGAGCTAGCAGTCAAACAGGTGCGGGGGTGCAGTATTGTAAGGACCTTTCCTGGCTGCAACATGGTGAGTTACTGACCTGGAACAAACATGTATCTGAGCTTTTGGGACAGGTAATATGCACATACCCATTCATCAATGGCCCACTATGTAGTAAAGCAAGGATACAGTACAGAATGGAGAATGCACTTTTAAAAACAAAGCCATGGCGGCAGCTGCCTTGTTCTCATTGTGATTCCTGCTACAGTTACAGTGAGATACTATTTAGACAGTGTCATCAAGGTCTTTTTATAGCCCTGCTTCACACCTGTGTATCTGCATTATACTGCAATTTTTATTGTTTAGGACAAGTATGTTGTTATGCATTGATGTTTGCTCCCTTGCTTACTAATAGGCCCTTGAGGGTAGGTCACACCATTTTCTGGACCAGAAAATGGTGTGAACCTGCCCGCAGTTCCAGTGCATTCCAGACCAGACAAAATGAGACATGCAATACTTTTCTGGTCGGGTCTGGAACGGACTGCGCTGGTGTGAACAAAGGCCAGAAATAACATAGGGATATATTCGGATGCATTTTGTGTCCAGAAACAGTCTGGTCTGGAGATGATGTGGTGTGAATCGGCCCTTGACGCACACTAATGCATAAAAAAATTGGCCTGGATTTTTTCGGACAATATCATGGCAATGCATCTCACAGATATGAACTAGCCCAACTAAAAACAATGGCAATTCTGTGTTAAGGTGCCCAAACAACTTACAATTATCTTCAGATTTTCTGTGGTCAGATGGAAAAATTGCAACAGATTGGCCCAGGTGGAGATTACTCCATCCACACAGTTTAGCGTAGATGGAGGAATCTGTTGCACCTTTTCCATCTGACCACAGAAAATCTGCAGATAATTGCAAGGTGTATGGCCAGCTTTAGCTTGTGTCAAAATCTGTACATCCACACAGAGGTGTGAATGGCCTCTTTAAAAATTTTGAATGGTTTACCAGAAGAACTGGAAAACTGCTGTGATACATAACTACACAGGTAAAATGGAGACATTTACTTGTGTGCATTGTATATTATATGACCAGATAGTGTGGCTCAGACACAAAATGCAAAGGTACACACAGAGGGGTACCAGTAACCTCATGTTCACTTTCAGATACAAGGATTACATTTTCCTGAAATTAAGCCCTTTGTGTGCCTCTGAACTTTTATATAACTCTGTCCTAGAACCTCTATCATTGCCTAGATCAATAAATTATCTGATGTGCCCATAATCTGCAGATTTTCCTGCCAGTTAATGCATTTTTAGTTGTTTTACTGGGGCTGCATAAGCAATTTTGTTTTATGGTAATTATGCAGTTGCGAGCTAGTTTTATTCCTTACAGTAAACAGTTTCCTCCTAATTTGTATGTAAATAAGGATGTATGACTTTAATAGCAAACAGTTTTACAGCAGTTCAGATCCCTTATCTAAATATTTGTTTTTGTTTCATGTTATGTAAATTAATCATCCTTAATATCTTTTTTAGGAAATGGTCTAAAACAGTGTTTCTTCCAGTCCAGCAGTACATGGTTTCTAGATCTCTTTAAAGGAATTATATTATTTATTTCAAGTGTGATTCTGTTAACTCTTGCTTCTTAACTAACCTCTTAATTAGCTGCAGCTTTAAAGACTCATACTAATGGAGTAAACAAAGCTAGTTTTTGAGTTCCATAGATTCCGGTGAAAAAATCATCCCAACAGGGCAAACAATACATAATTTGTGCCTTGCACCCTCTTGTGGATTTTTAATGGAACAATGTGGAGAATGTATTTAGGCTGGTGACGATGGTACATTGCAAAAAAAAAAGCCAAGCTCTGTTGTGTGCCAAAAGTTAGGGTTGCATCACTCTGACAGGGGCCAATACCATAGTTCTTTCAGACTAGCAGAATAGAACCCTTTAATTGTATGTATTTGGGTAAGGTAGAGGTAAACAGCAGAGATGTTTTTTTCTGCAAGTAATCACCATGGTAAGCCTAGTGTTTCTATTTGGAGCAACAGCCCATCAGGATTTGCTTATGTAAGAGTGGCAAACCTCAGGCTGCGTACACTGAATGGGTGACTCAAACACTATCTGCCTTCAATGCATATTAAGAAAAAGAAAGTGTTTGCACAATTTTCTTTACAAAATTAATACATTTAATTTTAAAAGAAATTATTGTTTCTATCTATATTTTGTAATTATGTTTGGGCATGGGGTAGCTATATTTGCTCCTTAAAAACATTGGCTCTGCCTCTTTGCATTGCCTATATAAGGGGCTTCTGGTAAGGAGTGCGGTAGGATACCCAGTGCACCCTAATTATGAATAATAAATGCATACCTGCTTGAATTTATTTTTTGTTTTTTTCCTACCTGGAGTTCAGCTTCAAACTGGAATTTCACTTAAGATCCGAGAACAGAATACACTACTTACCAAAGTAAAATCTGAGAGTAATACCCTACAAAAAATAACAGTGTAGAAGAGGAACATCTAGAAAACCTATAAACTCACTGATCTTTAAAAGCAAATTGTTGAGTGCATTTTTGTGTTCTTTTTTTTTTTCATGCTCATGAAATGCAGTGAAAGAGCGCACCACCCGAAATAAACCATTCTAGAACTTCCGTAGTGAATAATAAATCAGCAACAGTCATTATTTTAAAATTTGTTGGTATTTGAGAGTAGTAGCCTAATGGTGCCCGTCACAGTATATCTTCGTCTTTCAGCTCAAATGCATCGGTCAATATGTTTTTCGTGATTAAATTGGCTGCGGTTTTTGCCTAGTCAGGTTCACCACTGCCACATCCCTTATGCATTAACCCAGACTTGACCGTCCTAAAGAATGCCTGGAATACCTGTTGCAGTTGGTAGAACGCTGCTGAAGAACAAAGCTGCTGTGAAAGAGGTACTCCCCGAAAGAAGAGTAATACATATTTAACTGGAAACCCCCCTTTTAAGGATCACAGTTGCTCTTTGCTTTAGTGTGATTGTTGTCTACATCCATGAAATGTCAATCACTTATGCAGTAGGCTGCCATGATTTTCATTTGTTTCCCAAATTTGCCAATCCACCATTTTCCTACCAGTCTTACGATGTCTCACCAGTCATTTTACTTTAATTCCATGCTGCAACTTTGCATTTTGAACTTCCTGTCAAAGGAAAAGGGCTTTTTTTTTTTTTTAGTCCTTAGTCCTTAGTCTTTATATAAATGGGCCCCAGAGTATTTAATATCCAGTAAATTGAAAAGAATGATACAAAATAATATCTATGAAGTATGTATGCTCTATGGTAGTGAAAAGTGTTACAGAAAATGCAGATGTTTGCAGTTCATGACTAAGCTTCAAATGCTGACAAATTCTGCTAATAAAAAAATGTATATGGTGTGCTTAGCCAGTGAATAGACACTATACTCTTGTTTGGTTTACTTACTCTAAAGTATAGCAGAATCACTTTATTATGTGAATGTACATCCATGTATTTAACAATCCTTTCTATTTAATTCAAAAATCCTAAAGTCTATACATGGAGTTAGTCTACCTGCTGGGTATTTCATTCTTTTATGTAGGCATAGGTTTACTAAACAGGCCCACTGCATTTTGTCAGTAATCTGATGATCTGAGAACTCCTGCTTGTAATGCAGAAGAGATTTTCCTAGCTGCCACTGCAGACTGCTTGTTGTATCTCGCATACAGAAAGTCTAACTGTAATCATATTTTTTTTAAATTTTTGATGGTGTGCAGAAGAGTTAAGATTTCTGATAGGTGTTTTTCTGCCTGTGACCCAATTGGGTGGTTTTCCTCACTTTCTGTCTTTGTGACGTGCGTACACGAAATGGAGGAATCAGTTGTCAGCAGGTCATGGAGACACTGATGGTACTAAAAAACAATGTCAGAAGTTCTAACCTCATTCTACTAAAAAAATTAAGCTTTTCTTGTTGTCTGTGTCCCAATTTGGGAGACTTTACATCCTGTTCTTATAGTAAGTTAGGGAAAATCTACCCAATGGGAGCTAATATGTTTCTTTATCTTAAAGTGGATCATCTGGGCAAATAATACTATCTCCGTGGTAAGGACAACTGTATCAACACAGTTGTCCTTTCATTACTTTACCCCCTGCCCCCTCTTCTCGCTGATTACTGCCATAAGTACAGCTCCCTATCGGAAAGGATGGAGTCACAGCGTGCATTCGCACTAAGAACCGGCCCCGAGAGGCCGCACAGTAAATATCACTGGATCGGGACTGAAGGTAAGTACATTTACTTTCCTTCAGTCCCTTAATAGACTGCACCTGGGGGTTGGGGGGCATGTAATTAAATGTGATTGACTTTTGGATTACGTTGGTGGATCAATTTTTAACATTTTTGGGATTATTTTTTTTGTTAAAGGAAGAATAGCCAAGGGGGGGTCGTTTTTTTTGGCTTTGGGGGCCCTCCCTAAAATTCCTACCGGATCCAAAGGGTCTGGCATGACTTTTGTGGGGGAACCCCACATTTTTTTTTATAACATTTGGAGGTCCCTCCTAACAGACCTAAAGGGTATGCTATCAATTGTTTGGATAACCTCACACTTTTTTTCCTCTCTTCTGCAGACTGTAAAAAAAAAAAAAAAAGTATTTTTCTTTTGTCTAATGTCCCTTTGCTGCAACAAAAGATCGTTCGTACATACTACCGCTAACGAAAAATCTGATTTTTTTTTTTTACGATGATGCTTAACACAAACTTAATTCAGGAAATAAATTCAGATGCATCTGAAATTTTCGTTATCAGAAATTCGGCTTCATACAAATTTTTAATTGCTGTCATTCGGAAATGCAATTACAATTCGGAAAGAAACAAATCGCACATGTCTTGTTGCCGCGCACAGCTGCTCCAGTTTTGATAAATTCCCCATCATGTATAATTTCCTATGTAATTTGTATTCTAGAATATGAGTTTTGCTAATTTCACATATATGTTTACATTTCTTTACAGCAAGCCCAAAAGACAAAAGATGTAGTAGAAGATTTGGAATTGGCCATACTGAAAACATGTCAGTGCATTATGGAACTGAAACGAGAGGCAAGTTTTATAGGTTTTCTTATAATATATAGTGATTTGAATTTCCATGAGCTCACCATCAATGTAGCGCTTTTATGCCTTTTACTTAGTTCTTTTTCCATTCATTAAGTGCAGGCATTCTAAAAGATCGCTGAAACCAGTGTTTAGAGTTACCAAAATGCTACAAGATCAATGTGAAAAATTGAGAAGTCATAATTGTATGTTTGACTATAATTAGGGATGCACCGATACCATTTTTTCAAGACCCAAGTATGAGTACCGATTATTTTTCCTCAAGTACTTGCCAATACCAATCACCCATACCTTTGTTATGTTTAGGGTCATGTGACAATTTTCTAAAACCATACAAACTAATGATTTTGGGACAGTGGCGGAGCGCCAGGGTCTGGTCCCAGCTGCAACCACTGCGACCCTGATTCTGCCACTGACTCCAAGCTGTAGATGGACTACAAATCCAAGCAATACATTATATAGCAATGCAGAGCTACATACTCTGGGTGGCAGGAAGGCGGAGGAGGAGATGTTCCGCCAACCGGTGTTCTAACAGGTGCTGTAAATGGCACCACGAGGTCCCCAGCAAGCACTAGACCTTACGGCAGCTGCTTCTGAATAAAAATATAAAGGGCCGGTATCTGTTTTTCTAATTTCAGGGCATTTTTGCGAGTACACGTAAAAATTCCCAGTTTTGGCACTGATACTGGTATCAGTGCTTCCTTAATTCTATTATATAATATGTTATATTAGGGAAATGGGAGGATTCTCATTTGGAAATATTTAACTGTAGTGCTCAGCTAGATAACTCTTCCTAGCACTGGTCCTTCCCTATTATAGTAAGTTATCTATATAGTATTTCACCTATAATATAATAAAATGTGTTACGGTCTACTCTTATTACAGTGATGTAAACATGCATTGGAGCCGACGTGTGACAATGAAACTGTCACACGTCGGCTCAATAGATCGGGAAGTGAGCGAACACATACCGTCGCTCGCTCACTTCTCGATCATCTCCCTGCAGAGAGGCGTGACTGTAAGGGATGAATGATCCCATGACCCTTCAAAAAGAACTATGGGGTACGTTTTTTTTTCCATAGTTCTCTTAAGTGTCTATATTTTATTGTAGGAGAAAACAGTCTTCTCTTTAACTTGCAACATTTTGGATTTGTAAGTGTTTCTGTATGTAATTAGACTGATGTAAAGCTTTATCTTCTGCAACAAATATGTTACAATATGTACACATGCCTGTATGCAGGTAAACACTCAAACAACTCAGGCAGATGCTGCCTTGCTGAGTTTGATCAAAGAAGGGTTGATCTGTTGGCATAGATTTTACTAACTAATCACTATTATTTCCCCTAAGACACAGCACTTGCAGTGCTTTCCCCTCCCTCCCTCCTCTATATGCACAAATATACAAGCTTGCACAATGTAAGTTTGTATAAAGATGTTTAATTAGAAACATAGTCGGGTAGCGGGGTGGTGCATTATTTCCTGGTACCAGGGAGGATATGTAGGCAGATTTGTTTTTAATATTACTTTAGTGGGCGCTACTTTGGTACAACGATATTTACTTTTTGTCTTGATTCAACAAATGTTCCACATTATGTACACTGTGTACATAATGTGGAACATGTGTTGTGTACATAATGTGGACCACTGCATTTAAAAGCATTCTAACGTTGATCAATAGCTTTACTAGCAATACATTTAACTTACTAGAAACCAGTGCTAATTGCACCCACCAATTAAGACATAGTTGATTGTAAATTTTGCATCCATGAAATGCTCTATGTAAATTAATGAAACCAAAGAGAACCCTTTCAACTGAAGCTCACTGATGTGGAGGGAGTATTAAATTACTTTGGAGTCTCTATAGCTTTGCCGCAGTTTGGAAACAATTTTCTTCACGCAGGGCCCCTGCTGTTTAAGATCATTTTAATGTTTTTAATAAACTCGCTAAGCAGCTGATTGCATGAAACTTTAAATGGCGTGGTCTTTTTTTTCTTTTCTTTTCCTTGTTAGAATTTTTCAGTAACATTATGTAGATGAGGTTTTCCTCAAGCAGCAGCATTAGCTATTGGTTTCCACGTTTCTTTGTTTATTCATTATAGGCATCCCTTTTTTTTTTTTAAATAAACGTATTCATTACTGTCACTGAAGCAGGGTTGCCAACCATCTAAAAATTTCAGGCAGTGTGCAAAAAAAAAGTCTGTTTATTCACAATGTTTATCACATTTTAATTATGTGCATAGTTAAAAATACATTGTCTAGCCTACACAATACTGGGCTAATCTTATGGCTCATGTCAACCAGCATTCTTTACAAAAACATGCATTTGAATGGAAATCGCAGCATTTGACAATAAAAGGCTGCGTTTCAACTTCTTTGCCTGCAGATCAAACACACCTCCATAGGATATAGTGTGTCCAAAGAAACACAGAGCAACCCAAAGCATGTCAAACACAGCCTCTGAACGCCATGTGTACTGCTCTGTCTTAGTCAATGGGATTTTGTTGACCTGTGTTTTGATGTGTTCCAAATGTATGTCAAACGCAGAAAAACAAGGCCCATTGACATGAGCCCTTAGTATGTCACAAAAAGCTACTTTGTGATGCTTGACGCATTGCTCCTGATGCACATTATTTTAGAAGTAATTACAAAAATGTTTCTAATAAAGCATTTTTGCCAAAAAATAAAGTCTAATGATACCCAATACATTTTCTTAGTTTTACATAGAATGGGCCCCCCTGGCAGGTTGTACCTGGGGCTCCATTACTGAGATCTTTCCACACTTTCTGTTCTGGGGACAAATTTACCAGGCAGAAAGCAAGAGAAAATCTTGAACAGTGAAACAGACATTTAAAAGGTGACTAAGGTTCTAGCATCCAACTACTTAACTTTTTTTTTTGGTCTGTATCGCTGTTCGAGAAATTTCTCCTCACATCCTATCCCGGGAACAACCATTTTAACAGACCGGAAGTAAAGGAATCTCTCCAACACCATTTCAATTCACAATAAATCCTGTGTTCTTACCCTTCCCCACTCTATCCAAAAGAAAAAAAAATGTGTTGGCTGTAGATATACATTAAATTTTTTTTTAAATTATTATTGTGGACAATTCAGCTTTAAATTTTGAGGTTTCTGAATTTTTTTGGACCGTTACCCAAAAACTGCACAGATGTACCTGCCTTGCTAGCACAATGTCCTGTAAAAGTGTTTGCCTCTTCTAGGTTTCTACTGTTACTGCATATTTTTGTGTTCATTGATTTTAATTAAATGTAACCTCAGTAGGGAAAAAAAACAAAGTAATCTAAAAACATCTGGCACTGTGAAAATCGTACTTTAGTAATGAATACCATAAACACATACTGTTTGTAGCATGGGTGTTGCACGATTAATGACATCTGCAGTAAAGAGATGGAGCTGGGGTGCCAGGCTAGATAAGTATAATGTTCTTGACGAATAAACAGTGGTATGAGGTAATGGTTGCAAGAGAAGGGACTTTCATATGAGGACTAGTATGTATTGTACCAAGTATATGAAAGGATAGCGGCACTCCAAAATTAATATGCTAAAATGCACATAAGATTGTATTTACACATAGCATTATAAAGGCATGTATACAACCTGTAAAACTCAAGAGCTGCCCTAGGTTTGTCCTCCTTTATCTGATTGATAGGTTTCATTTCTTAATATTCACCAGAGAAGAGCTGGGCTGGCACCCATTACGCACATAAAGGAGGACCAACTTGGAGCAGCGCTGCTTTTGGACTTTTATCTGCTGCAACCTCTGCAATATTAGCAAGAGAGAGATCATAAAGAGTTTCAAAAGGTGTCAGCTGTACTTTGTTATTTACAAGTTAAAAAAGTTAAAAATACCAGCACGTCTCTAAATGGCCTGTAGAGCAAAGACTTGAGTTTCACTTGTTGCTAAATCTTTACAGGTTGCGTACATACCTTTTACTTTACAGTTCTATGTGCAATTATTGTATCTATGTGAAATACATTTGTATGTACAGTTTATAATGTTCATCCCGCAAAGTAAGCTACAAGTTAAATGTTTAAGGACTTCAACAAGCTTGTGTAGTCTGCTGTTAATCCAGGCTCATTTTAACATTCAGGTAAATTGAGATACAGCACTGTGTTGTATAACACTCCAAGGTCAACTGGAAATCAGTCTTAATGCCAAATATAGAACAGACATCTGGTATCCCAGTGACATGCAATTAGATCCTTCACTGTTTATTAATTTTTAACTTCCACAGGTTCTTGGACAGCAGGTCTTTAATCTGAAGAGCTTTTGTGTATACAAAATGTACTTTGTAGACATCACCAGTAAAGCACAAGAAATAAGTATTTACTAACATGTATTGAAGCATGGCATTAACTGGGGCCTCATATTGTATAATAACTATAAATCTTAACACTCCTATAAAAATGCAGGAAGAGCAATTATAACTTCTGGCTTGGAGTCAATCTAACAGCTAGAGGCTGAAATGCACCAAAAGTTCATCAATAGCTGCCAGTACCTTAAAATAATATCTGGGGACATTTTGCTTTTGAGTATATGCTGCTGACAGCCCCAAACAAGCCAAATGACCCATCAAGCTTGTTTGTGTGTGTGATATATATATAATGTAGTACATCTGTGGCATTCATACATATTCCCCTTGTGTTATCTCATAAAACACGCTGCCAGTACTGAAAATATCTATGCCAAAATGTAGTGGGCTCCTGCCTTTTTGACAGCACAGCTCTAAATTCCTAAAGTATGTGGTGTCAGCCCTGCCTACTTCATTTTCTGACCAAAAGGAAGCAAATATGGCTAGTTCATTCCTAGGGTTTACATCCACTTTTAAATCTAAATAATAACAGTGTAAGGTGTACTCTACATACAGTATGAGACCACTGATTCTATATAGTACAACACAGGAGTTTTCCCAGACGTAGTAACTTCCAAATTATATGTACAGCCATAGGTTTGCTTTATGTGCAGAAACAGCACAGATTACCAAGTACATAGCAAATATTAAAAGCTGTTCATAACAGTATAGTGGGAACAAAAGTTTGATAAAGTGGACCTGTAGGCTCACCTTGCTATATATTGACTGGAAATTTGTGTGGTCAATAATTGCCTAAATTAGTGTTGAGTTTTGGGCATTCCCAGACCCTGTTGGAATAAAGTAAGCTGGAAAGGATCTGGCAGTGCCAAGTGTTTGGTGGCCCCAAGTCCATAAAGCATTCAAGGTAGGTGGACAGGTTTCCCTTTAAAATGAACAAGTTGTTTGTGCTATAAACTTTGTCTATTCTGAAGGGTTACTGAATATTGGAGGGACAGGGACAAGTCTCTGAACTTAGAGGAGATAAATTGTGGGTATGGTAGCTTAGAGCATGGCTTTACATTGTTTCAAATTTGTTTTCTAAAAAGTTACGAAAGATATATAAGGGTCCATTCACATCTCCCAGTGAGAGAATGTATGCTTTCACTTAACATTGTTGTGTGCTTTAGCATGTTGCAATGCCATTGTCAATAGTATACACAATAATCCACCAGACATGCAGCACACCACTAATGCACAATAGCATACTACTGTGCATTGTGGTACGCTGCATTGAAACACTTGGTACATGTCCAAATTTATTTTTCTTTGTCCATTTTAATGCATAGGCAGCCCAGTTATTTGAATGGGCTGCCTTAATGGAACTCTTATTTAACCATAATGAAAAGATGTGAATAGGCCACAAGCTCCTGCCCACAGCATTTTGTACCAAGCCAACAATTTTCCTAGGCTTAAAATAATCTGACAAGTTAATCTTTTACTTAATTTACAAAGTTTTTTCCTAAACATTTAAAAGTTATTTTACTGTAATGTGATTATGGGTTGCAATAGGTTGCTACATTTTACACTCATTCGTTCATTTAGTATAGTCCTTTGGTATAGTAAAGCAAATTGGGGTTTAACTTTAGAAGTACCAAATTTTAAATTGGAGTGTACATTGATATCCATGTTATTTTCAAGCAATATGAAAATGCTAAAACAATGAGTTTTAAGGTGCTAATACTTGCTTATTTGCACCTCCTATTAGTAGCCATGGGTATGTCCAATCTATTCCTCTAGGAATCCTTCCCAAACCACTAAAGTCACATACAGACACAAGAGATATCCATTGCGATTGTGTGCAAGAAAGCTTCATGATCAATGAGGTTGCCTGCTGCTAAATAGTTGTCTCTACTCAGGAGAGACACTAATGTATGTAAGCTGCCTTCTCAACATCATGAAGGGCAAATTCTAGAATGGGAGTTCAGTTCGAGTTGGTGAAAAACATAAAAACCTGTATTCTGCATTACAATTAACAAAAATGTACAGCCCCGATGCTGGCGACGTACACTGTACGTCAGTCACGAAGGGGTTAAAAATTCAGGATAATTTGGATTATTTTACAGGGCAGGTAGAAAATGGCATCACATTATGGGAATAATTATAAACGCAAAAGAGGAAGTGGTAAATGCCAATTCTTTAGGTAGCATTGTATCTGTGTTACTGCTTCAAAGAGCTGTATGCTTAGAATAGATTTTGTTTCGCCTTTGTTGAGGACATGTTTTCTTGTGCCAAATCTGAACTGGAAACAAATGTCACTCATTAGATGTGCTACCCAGGAGATAAATATAGTTCAATGTACCCAGGAAAGAGAACGCTCCATTCTAAATACAGTGCACACATACAGTTGGTGCACATTACAGCCTTTTGATTCATTAGCATTAAGCTAGAAATTATTTTTGAATTAAATTATTTCCTCTATATGAAATAATTGGTACACGGCTTTATTTGGATATAAAGGCAGACAAGAATAGGGAAAAGATGTGATTCCAAAACCTTTCAAGGTGAATTATCAGTTCATTTTCTCTGAGGTTTGTGTAACTTGTACAGCGTACTATTACATACATGCGTACTAAAAGCCTAGCTGCAAAAGTCTAAGTACTATATTTGTGGTGCTTTTGGGAAAGAATACTGGTTAAAGTTGAACCATTGTGTAGGAACTACAATTATTATTTTTTTAAACTTCAGTGAATAGGGTTCAGTATAGGGATGTTTGGCTGCTTTTATACAATTCAATTGTTGCCAAATAAAATGTATGAAAGTATCTTGGAATATCTCATTGCATTGCTATATAATTGTTCAGCCTTTAACATGACTGACTTTACCATTAGCTGGAACACTTGATATGTTAATAGAGACAGCAACTGTTAGGATGTCTGCACACACCTTTGCAGAGGTATTCAAAAAACAAATGCCAGCAATGTACACCGAGAACATGAAGCAGGCATATGCAGTTGATGTATATGAACACATCAACTTAATTTTTTTGTTCGCTTTCCTCTTCCTACCATATTTTAATTGAATAGAAAAAGTATAAACATATAAATCACACAGAACGGACATTTAAAATTTATAAACTTTTGAGAGACTTCACTGTAGAAGCTTAGTATGCATCAATATATGGTGGCAAACATTTGTTATAGTTACCCTCCGTGGGTGGCAGGCGGCCAATGATGAGTGTATCGGATACTAGAAAGTATCTAATGTTATTGTATCCTGTATAAGAGAAACAGTCACTCTTTATGATAATGTTTCAGTAGCAATCCAGACGGGTTCCACAGACAGTTTGCAGATTAAGCCTCCCTATATCTTGGAGGACAAAGTATCCGTTTGATGATTTGCAGTGTGGTGATGACAGTTCAGGGGGAACTTTCCCAAGTGTGCAGCTGATCAAGTGGAGCCCGTCCGGTCCTCGAAGGTGTATGGGATAAATGCAAAGGGTCATACACATAAGCACACACCGAGTGTGTCTCCAAGTTGTGCGACTTATAGTACGGAGGTATCCTTGGAATAGGCAATACTTTCGATCCTCACTCATCAAGGTTCAAGCCGCCAAGCTCAATCCGCTCAGTGGGATTGTTTTGCTATGCCAGCCACAAGCCTCTGGTTCGGCGGATAATTCAAATAGCTGTACAGGGAAGCTCCATCCACGCTATTCCTGGCGCGTTTCCCCAGCAAGTGGGGCTTCTTCAGAGGGGCGAGAGTTACTCCTTTTGAGCATAGGTGATTTATAACTAGTCAATTCATTCAATCAGCATTTCATTGGAAATTGCATGTTACACTTATATGCTGCTAATAGCGTTAATATCGTTTCATAGAAAAAGGAAACATATATCTTTAGTATATATAGAAAAAATATATAAATGGCTTATACATGCGGATACGATTTTTGTACTGATTGGTCACAGTATATATTTCAGTAGTACAATAACAGGTTGATTATTGTGGGGATCCATTAGAGCAGTATGTTAGAGTGGTGGGGGGTTCATAGAAAGCAGCTGGAGGATCAGCACTCAGCACTGGAGGATCAGAGAGGGGGGGAATCCCTGTGGGGAGCGGTGAACGACAGTCACTGCTCACTGCAGTGCTATATTGATGCAGTTGCTTTCTATGAACCCCCCACCACCGGTATGTGTGTTTATGCAACTCGCTGAGAAGGGAGTGGGAGGATCCATGCTCCAAATCCAAATGCATAATAAATATCAAGGTGGACTCATAAGAGGTTGAACGGTCCCTTTTAGCATTTCACTCACTGCCACTGATTTATAGTATATTACAGGGCCTTGTGAAGCTGCTTTTGTGTTCAGATGCACTGTGGGTGCAAAATCAAGCAGATATTTCATGCAGTAATAAAAAAATTATTTGCTTGGTTTTCTACATTTACCTGATTTGGCCAGACATGCATCTTGGCAAGTGTGAACGGTGTAAAGCAATAAGTAGGCACAAATAATGTTACTAATGTGTCTGCTGTCCCTGTACTGCTACTGTAATTCACTTTTCTAATGTCATTCAGCTTCACAGTGCAGCTACAACACTTGCTACAGACCTATTAAAATACCATGCCGATCATATGGTTTTAAAGGCCTTGAAAATTGCTGGTGCAGAAGGAAATCTGGAAGCCGTGGCAGAATTCACTTCCAAGTTGTCTGAACAGAAGGAGCAGCTTATAGAGGTGAGTTTCTGTTTTCCATTCAGACTGCTTTATTTGTAATAACCTTTATAGAGTGTTTACCAATAAACAATTTTGCTTTCAAAAAGTAAATACATACAAGTAAAATCCTTCTAGTGCCATCCATGAAACTTTGCCACTAGGATAAACCTCAACAAACCCTTTTGATTTACTTAACTTCGTTTTATGTTTCTTTTCAGAGGTCTCTAGGAGGCTACTGCAGTAAAGTCATTTTGTCGGGCCTTCTTTTTCTGATAACGTTTCTACATTTAAGTTTTTCTTTTCCTTGTATTAGAGTTGCAGCAGTGGTTGCTCTTCTTTTTTTTTTTTCCCAGCAAGCGTATGCATAATTAGACCGAATAATTTGATTGCAAATGGATTTTTATAGTGAATTGAAAATTTGTAGTCTCAAGGTACAGGCTAAGCGCCCAGTTATAGCAGCCTAAGAATTTTTTGTAGCTGGGTAGACTCTATGCACGTGGGCCATTACACCCAGGAGAAGTTATCTGGGACGTATAAACAACTTTTATGCTTCCCCCAATCACTATTTCCTGTGTTTTTAGATGTTCCTGGGTTTAGCTGCAGTTACATGTGTTTACCTGTATAAATGCAGCTAGAATGAATACAACTGGATGCTGCTAAACGTCTAGGTGTGCGTTCATCCATAGCAAAGCATTACAGGCGCGTTTAGAAATAAGCACCAAACGCACCTGGACTCATGCATCTTAACTCCCGTGTACATGGGGCCTAAAAGGGATTATACACTAAAGCCCTGACATTTGTCCTATGTATGTGCTTCCTTGTTACATTTTTAGTTTGACTAGTGTGTGCTTTTAAAAGAACAGTTCCAGGGAACAGGTAAAGTAAACCAGTGAGCTTCTAATGCTACCGAGTAAACACTTAACTGGTCTAATTCAGAATGTTCCCTTTACCATAATCTAATTTCTATGTAATCCCCTATACCCAGATTTCACAGGCCATCTAAAAGGCTCAGTTAAAGAAGCAGAAGGATTAGACTCTCTGAAGCCTGTTTTATTTAACTTGCATCAATCGTATGTAATGGAAAACTAAAAAGAATGTGGGAACTTTGCCCATACCAACATACGGTAGTTCCTTTAGTCAAACTTTCCCATTTTATTTTTCTTCTAGTTTTTATATTATCACTGATGCTTTTTATTCCTTCTACAGTAGCAATGATTGGAAAGACCTAGGTCTGTAAATCCATATAGTGTAAATATTTTAAACCTTCTTGTGAGTTGCATCAACATCGCAAGGGTCTGCACTTTTTACCTGCAGTAGTTTGCCATTCTCCCCCCTAGCATTAGTCTCTTTGTGTGAATTAAGTTTTTATTCAAGTTTTTAGTGCGTATACAAAAGTAAAGGTCAACAATAACATTAGTTGGAAAGCAATTAAACCATCATACAATGTTATACCTTTTTCTAGTTAATAGAATAATTTGACAATAAAAAAATAAGAATAAGAGAACCAAAAAAAAATAAAAAATAAGAGAACCAGAGAAGTCTCTTTGAACAAAGTGTTCCATATATATTTAGACTACAAGAAAACAGTACACTTTTTAAAGGGTAAGTTCACCCTAAATCTTCTTTTTTTGGTTTAGGACCCCTGTTGGGTTTTACTGCTATCTGGGGGTTTGTTACAAAGGTTTCCCCTCACTTACTATTAGGGATGCACCGATACCGATACTAGTATCGATATCTGTGCCGATTTCTAGTATTTGGGCAAGTACTCGTACTCGCCCAAATGTTCTGATGCCTAGCACGAGTACTTCCGGTATTAGGAAGCTGGGCAGCGCGTCATTACACGCTGCCTGGTTTCACGATTGACCGGGAAGCGGCTCCATGCTCTCTCGTCACTTGTGATGAGAGAGCATGGAGCCGACTTGTCGGCCAATCAGGAAGCCGGGCAGCGTGTAATGAC